GAACGAGGAGCAAACAGAAGGAAAAAAACGCACATTACGATTCTATTTCACCGCAGTAGACAGGGAGGGAAACAGACGATAAAAGGTGTCCCCCTCAACGTGGTAACACTAGTTGCTTCTGGAAGGCATAAGCTGAACCACCCAGTGACAGCACCAGCAGGCAGCTGAGAGCCCTTGTTTAGCAAGGTTCTCTGAAGGGAGTTTCCCATAAACATTGGTCCATGGACTAGGTATCAGAGTCGCCTGGGAGAAAGTAAACATGGTTCATAAACACTGTGGAATACTATTCAGCCATCAAAAAGAATGAAACCCTGCGGTTTGCAACAACATGGACAGAACTAGAGGACATTGTGCTAAGTGGAGCAAGCCAGGAGCAGACAGTGAGACACTGCATGTTCCCGCCCATATGTCGGGGGTGGGGGGCCGATCTCATAGAAGTAAAAAGTAGAGCAGAGGAAACCAGAGGTTTGGAAGGGCAGGGGAAGGCGGGGATAGTGAGAGACTTGTTACAGGGTACAAGACTACAGCTAGATAGGAGGAATAAGTTCCAGTGCTCCATACCGCTGTAGACTGACTGTAGTTAACAGGAATATATCATACGGTTTCAGACAGCTACAAGGATATTGCAGGTTCCCAACACAAACGATAAATGGTTGAGAGGACTAATTATGCTGATCTAATCACTGAGCTCTTGCTCAGGCTGGTCTCGAACTCCTGACCATGAGCGATCCTCCTGCCTCGGCCTCCCAGAGTGCCGGGATGACAGGCCTGAGCCACTGCGCCCGGCCTGAGAAGATTTTCTGATTCAAGATCCTGCCTATTGCTCAGGAACGATGCTGTCCAGAGACGCCAGTATGGCCGCAGCAAGCCCGTCCGTCCCCATGACTCTCGCCTGGTTGCTCGGTATTTTCATGTCTATATCAACAAACTATCCGTGACTTTTACTCCGCTGCAAAACAGACAGAACCTCATCTTGCACTTCACGACTTATTTACTGATTTCATGCATTGTCAGGTTTCCTGTTTCCAACTGTTGCGTTTCCCCTGTGACGTGAAGACCAGCACGAAGCTCGAAGACAACGGTGAGGAGCACACGTGCCCTCCCCCGCCCCGAGTCACACACACACAACTCTGAAGACACACAGGTCTTCTCAGGACCAGGGAGTCTCCCTCCATGGTCCTTCCTCCTGCCCTCCGGCCGCTGAGGAGGGCGGTCAAGGAGCTCGTGGTGTAGGGTGTCAGTGTGTCTCCTTTCATCGCGCCTTTAGTCAGGTTGAGAGAGGGAACAAGAAGCACAGCCGCAGTGCTTTGAGCAATCAACTTTCTAGAACCTCCTGATGCTGCCAACCACCCCCTCCCTCTGGCCGCCTCCAAAATGAGGATTGTGCGTGAGCATCGCATGCCCGTATGCAAATATGTCACGTCAGGTAAAATCGACCGTCCGGCCAGATGTGGAAGGCAAGCGCCCCGTTACACGCTCCTCCCAGAGGACCATGCCAGGCCACGCCGGCTGCTGGCTTCCGAACACAGGTAAGGGCTCTTTCAGGCTGGGGGGAGCTCCACAGGGAGCCCCCAGAGGCCAGGAGGAGGAGGAATTGGGAGAACAGCAGGTTTGCTACACAATTTGGATCTCAAGTAAAGAAAACCTGGAAAGGAAATCAAACCACTGCTGAGAAAACAAATGAATATGATCAATCTAAATCAGAAAAACAATCAGCGGAAGAAGCAAGGTTATGGAGCAAGGTTAGGCTGAACACCTTTTCTGAAAGTCAGGATTAGCCCAGTCTTATTATAAAATTATGACAATATAAAGCTTTCCATGATCTTAATAGAAACAGTTGCAGGGCCTAAAATACAGAATTAAGGCACGATTCTAAAATAAGGTTTATCACTTTAATGTATTATTGTGAAGATATTAAGCTTTTTTTTTGTTTTTTTTTTTGAGACAGAGCCTCACTCTGTTGGCCAGGCTAGAGTGAGTGCCGTGGCGTCAGCCTCGCTCACAGCAACCTCCAACTCCTGGGCTCAAGCAATCCTCCTGCCTCAGCCTCCTCCCGAGTAGCTGGGAGTACAGGCATGCGCCACCACACCCGGCTAATTTTTTGTATATATATTTTTAGTTGGTCAATTAATTTCTTTCTATTTTTAGTAGAGACGGGGTCTCGTTCTTTCTCAGGCTGGTTTCAAACTCCTGACCTCGAGCAATCCTCCTGCCTTGGCCTCCCAGAGTGCTAGGATGACAGGTGTGAGCCACTGCGCCCGGCCAATATTAATATTTGCCTTCTCCCTGTGCAATTAGAAGATCCTCTACAAGATCTGCAAGTTCCTTGAAGACAAGCATTTGGCCTCTCATTTCCAAGCCATCAGCACCAAGCAGAACAGACATCCAGCTGTGCGATGAATCTCTGCTGAACTGACTGCATGAATAAACAAGGGCATGCCTGCTTTCCTTCTTTGCCAAAAGAACGTACAGTAGAATAAATTAACAAGCAATACAAAAGCGAGCAAAGGCATGCATATGATGAGCCACTTAATCCTGCCAGCAACATCAGACCAATTTATTTACTTGAGTGAAGACAGTGGTCTGAGTCTGCACAGGTCTGAGTCTGCACAGGTCTGAGTCTGCACAGGTCTCAGTCTGTACAGGTCTGAGTCTACACAGGTCTCAGTCTGTACAGGTAAGACCAGCCGTGGCTGTGCCCCAGGAGCCGCAAGGAAGAAAACTCCCCGTGGTGGTACCAGAGCTCCCCTTCCCTGCATGTCTGCCAGGCTGTGTGCCCTCACTTCACTGTCTCTGGCCCTCTGATAGGTCTACACTAAATATCCTTCAAATAAATGACTCGCACTTTATGGAGCAACCCTGTTAACAGCGACACGGCCAGCGCAGCTGCGGGGGCCACTCGGCTCCTGTGAAATCAGCAGCAGCCCAACGGGGGTTCTGTCCAGGGTTGTTTTCTAAACACCTTATTTTCCCTTGTGTTTACTGCCGAAGTTGCCGCAAACATTCCTGGAAGAAGTCGCAGTAAACACCCAATGAAACAGGCCCAGTCCCGGCATGCGAGGGGCGCTGCTGACGGCCGAGCCCTGGGCGAGATGGGCGCAGAGACTGCTCTCGGGCCTCGGCTGGCCCCGCACGCCGGCAGGAAGGGCTGCCGGCCCGGTCGGGCGCAGAGCCCGGTACCCCCGCACCGCCGGCCCGGTGGGCGCACAGCCCGGTCCCGCCCGCACCGCCGGCCCGGTGGGCGCACAGCCCAGTACCCCCGCACCGCCGGCCCCAGTTGGGGGGCGCACAAGCCGGGTCGCCCCCCCCCCCGCCCGCCAATACCCGCCCCGGGTGGCGCACCAGCCCATACCCCCGACCGCGGCCAGGGGGCGCACAGCCCGGTCCCCGCCGCACCGCCGACCCGGTGGGCACGCACAGCCCAGTTTACGCGCCCGCCAACCGCCGCCCCAGTGGGCCGCACCAGCCGCGGTTCCGCCACCGCGGCCCCCAGTGGGCGCAAGGTGCGACCGGGCCAGTGCGCAGGGTCGAGGCGGCCGGTGGCGCACGCCGGTCCGCCCGCCAACGAAGCACCGCCCGGCCCGGTGGGGCGCCACCAGCCCCGGTCGCCCCGCCCAACCCGCGGCCCTGGCTGGGGCGCGACAGCCCCGTCCCGCCCGCGCCGCACGCCGCCCCGGTGGGCCGCACAGCCCCGTCGCCCCGCCACCGCCCGGCCCCGGTGGGTTGCCCGCGCAGCCCGGTGCGCCGCACCGCCCCCCGGTGGGGGCCACAAGGCCCGGTTTCGCACCGCCCGCCCGGGTGGGCCGCACAGCCCGTCCCGCACGCCCCGCACGGGGGTTGGGCGGCGCAAGCCGGTCGCGGCCACCGCCGGGCCGTCGGCACGCAAAGCCCCGGTCCCGTGGGCGCACCGCCCTGCAAAGAGGCGGCGAAGAGCTGTCTCGGGCCTGCAGGGAGCTGCGCAGCAGAATGTCCCGGGCCGGACGGCTTCTAAGAAACCCAAGTTCCCTCCCGCAGTCCTGGAGCTAGAAGGCCGCCGTCCAGTCCCGCCCACTCGCGTCCGCCGGGCTGCGGCCTTGCACGGCGCCTTCCGCGGTGCCCACTCGCGTCCGCCGGCCCGCGACCCGGTTCTGCAGGGCTGTTGGGCGAGGGCGCCCGTGCTCCATGAGGGCTCCTCCCGTGGTCTCATCGCGCCCTACGCCCTCCTGACGCCGCCACTCGGGGGCGGGATTTCCAGGCGTGACCTCCGCGAGACACGGGCCTACAGACCACGGAGAACCCTAACACGCAGCCTGCCACACATGACCTCCGCCCCAGGACTCTCTCCCCGCCGTCCCCACAGCCCGCCCCACCCTGCCCAGCTGATTTTCATGGCCACGCCCACCACCAGGGCTGGTTTTCATAGCCACGCCCACCACCAGGGCTGGTTTTCACAGCCACGCCCACCACCAGGGCTGGTTTTCACAGCCACGCCCACCACCAGGGATGATTTTCGTAGCCACGCCCATCACCAGGGCTGATTTTTTCACAGCCACGCCCACCACCAGGACTGATTTCCATAGCCACGCCCACCACCAGGGCTGAATTTCATAGCCACGCCCACACCAGGGATGATTTCCATAGCCATGCCCACCACCTGGGCTGATTTTCATAGCCACGCCCACCACTAGGGCTGATTTTCATAGCCATGCCCACCACTAGGGCTGATTTTAATACCTACGTCCACCACTAGGGCTGATTTTTCATAGCCACGCCTACCACCAGGGCTGATTTTCATAGCCACGCCCATCACTAGGGCTGATTTTCATAGCCACACCAATCACCAGAGCTGATTTTCATAGCCACGCCCACCACTCATCACTAGGGCTGATTTTCATAGCCACGCCCATCACCAGGGCTGATTGTCATAGCCACACCCATCACTAGGGCTGATTTTCATAGCCACGCCCACCACCAGGGCTGATTTTCATAGCCACGCCCACCACCAGGGCTGATTTTCATAACCACGCCCACCACCAGGGCTGATTTCCATAGCCACGCCCACCACTGGGGCTGATTTTGGGGCAGGGCTTCTACTGCGCACGTGCTTAGACACCCTGCTGGGGCTTGTTGTATGGGTGGGTCTTATTTCGGGCAACACGGCATGTGCCCTTCCGTGTGTGATGGGCGCGCAGGAAGGCAGTCTGTCTGTCAGGGTCAGTGAGCTGCGTCCCGCCTGGCCCGTGCCCAGGGCGAGCGGGCGGACGCTGTCCCAGACGTGCCCGGGAAGCCTCACACTCGCCGCGCGGCTCCCACGCGCTGTGCTGCCCGACGAACGGGACGCCACACCTACACGCGCTCGCTGGTCTGAGGGATAAAACGCTGCTTGGCCTTCCGCTTCTGCGCTTTCCTGTCCTTCAGACGAAGCGACGCCACCGCTTCCTCTGCGCGGTGTCTGAGCCGGGGCCGGCGCGCGCTCGCTCCGCAGGGACCACGCGCGACAGACAGGCACGGCTGCGCTAGCCTCGACCTCCAGGCAGTAGCCTTTGCAGCGCCCTCGCCCGCTTCAGACTTGCCTTGCGCTCGCTCCTTGCCTCCTCGGGTTTTCTCTGACTCTCGGTTTTTACTCTAACTGCCCTATTTAGCTGGAGTTAAAGCACTCCTGTGAAAATGGCCCCCGTGCCCCCCCAACTCGGAGAGGTCGGGCGGCTCTGCAGGGTCATGCCGTGAAGCCCGGGCTCGGCGTGCCGGCGACCGCAGCCAACGCGTAAGGAGCGAATCCAGGGAGCACCCCGTGCCCCCCCAACTCGGAGAGGTCGGGCAGCTCTGCAGGGTCATGCCGTGAAGCCCGGGCTCGGCGTGCCAGTGTCCACAGCCAACGCGTAAGGAGCGAATCCAGGGAGCGCCCCGTGCCGCCCCAACTCGGAGAGGTCGGGCGGCTCTACAGGGTCATGCCGTGAAGCCCGGGCTCGGCGTGCCAGTGTCCACAGCCATTGCGTAAGGAGCGAATCCCGGGAGCACCCCGTGCCCCCCCAACTCGGAGAGGTCGGGCGGCTCTGCAGGGTCATGCCGTGAAGCCCGGGCTCGGCGTGCCGGCGACCGCAGCGAACGCGTAAGGAGCGAATCCAGGGAGCGCCCCGTGCCGCCCCAACTCGGAGAGGTCGGGCGGCTCTGCAGGGTCATGCCGTGAAGCCCGGGCTCGGCGTGCCGGCGACCGCAGCCAACGCGTAAGGAGCGAATCCCGGGAGCGCGGGCGCCCCAACTCGGAGAGGTCGGGCGGCTCTGCAGGGTCATGCCGTGAAGCCCGGGCTCGGCGTGCCAGCGACCGCAGCGAACGCGTAAGGAGCGAATCCAGGGAGCGCGGGGCCCGAGCCCGCCCGCTCAGTGTGAGGTGGCGCGTCCACAAGGAGCCGCGAGCCGCGGGCTCTCCGGCCGCAGCCTGGCTGACAGGTGCTGGGCACCAGCTCCGCTGAGCTCCCAAGGACCCAGGTGAGGACTGGCAACCGGGTTGCTTTCCGTGCTGTTTCTTCTGTGCAAGTGCTTCCGCCGTCCCTGGGAAATGCATTCACGTCTGAGACGTCTCTAAGGAAGTGTGTTCCACAGTTCAGACACCAAAAAAAAGTTGTTCAAATTTTCCTTGACTTTTTCTTCTTTTGAAAAGCCATCTTAAACCTGGACCAAAGAAGTTCACTCAGGAATATTAGTTGAAGTCACTGCCGTGCCTCGGACTCTACCTTGGCCCTGAGAACTCGCGGGTCCCCAAGGAAGCCCACCCTCCATGGAGCTCCTGCTCAGGGAAGCAGGTGGCACTGGCCGCTCTCAGCCCAGCGAGTCCGGCCAGACCACTCAGCACATTTCCTCGGCCCTCTGGTGCGCGGGTCACTCTGGAGAGAATCCAGAAAAGACACCACACAGTCAGGAGAGAGTTACCGCGGCGACCCACGGTGGCAGGAAGACAAAGGAAACAGGTGAGAGATGGAACAAAAGGTAAGGGAGGACTGGAGGTGAACGTCCACGTTTGCATTTGTCACGCAAAGCCAGATCAGAACCAAGATAACAACAGTGAGATTCCACCAAGCCGCAAATAAATCAAACAGCTTTTATTAACTGTTTTGGTGGGAAAAGATGCTCCAACTTCCGAATAAACAAATTAGAAATAAACTTTTAGAGCTACCAATATAGTAGGCCATCTGGAAATAGTCTTATTTTTCCCCTACAACGAGGCTTCCACTGTTTGAATGAAACCTGACCAAGCAGGATCTAACCACTGTACGTGAGCGTAGAATCTCTTGTATTGGAAAAGTTTCAACATTTTTAAACACAAAATAAAGATCTCTCCAGGCAACTGGACAGGTTTCACGCATTTCTTTATTTACAGATACCACATTGCTTTTATGACTGTGATTTTTAAGAACACTTCCTGGTGGAGGGCCGAGCATGGAAGAGTGCAATGATGTCACGTCGAGTCACTCCTGCTCAGCGCAGACTGAAGCATTCGCTGCAATCTTTCTGGCTGCACGGATTATGCTGGCACCTGTTTAACTGAGAAGAAAACCAAGCAAAATTTCCAAATCTAAAAGTAACTTCAGTAGAATGGTTTCATATGGCGACTGGAAAGTTCTAGCAAGGTACCCCAGATGACTAACCCCTACAGAGAGCAGTGGCACTAGTGGGACAGCAAGTATCGGCTGGCTGATTTCAAGCTTATTACCTGGAAATCTATCTGTAGTTCCCTTCTAATTCTGTTATTTAAAAAAAACAGTACTCTTGATTATAAGCAGACCGCTAAATCACTCTGGAGAAAACAGCAAAGGCGCACGGGTCCTTGCTATAAAATAAAATTCAAAACTGCAAAATAAAAACCACTATGGAAATTTGCATTTTATTATCCAAAGCTAATGTTTTAAACGCTAAATTGTAGCGGCCAAACATTCCCAGGCACGTGAAGGTTTACAAAGCTTGTAGCGGCAAAGCACCCCGAGCCGGGTGTCAGGCACACCCGGGCCTGAGTCACGGCTCTGCTACCGCCAGGGGAAACTCGAGGAAAGGTTCCTTCCTTCCCCAGCCTGTCCTCCTACCAGTGGAAACAGTAATAGTAACTGCAGCTGCACCTCGGAGAAGATTAAACACCACATGGAAAGCACGTAACGCAAGCCCGGCTCAGCAGTGAGCAGTCACCTGCAGTTGCGATTTCTGTTCCACAGTATAGTGTGGGCTTCGTCACAGCCCTGCGATGAAGCAGGCACTCCTGTCCTTTCCACCTGAAAAGTGAGGAAACTGAGACTTACAGAAGCTGTCACTTGCCTAACCTCAAACATCTAATAAAGAACATCTTCTGGGCCGGGCGCGGTGGCTCACGCCTGTAATCCTAGCACTTTGGGAGGCCGAGGCCGGCGGATCGCTCAAGGTCAGGAGTTCGAAACCAGCCTGAGCGAGACCCCGTCTCTACCAAAAATAGAAAAAGAAATTAATCGGCCAACTAAAAATATATAGAAAAAATTAGCCGGGCGTGGTGGTGCATGCCTGTAGTCCCAGCTACTCGGGAGGCTGAGGCAGGAGGATCGCTTAAACCCAAGAGTTTGAGCTAGGCTGACCAGGGCACTCTGGCCCGGGCAACAGAGCTAGACTCTGTCTCAAAAAAAAAAGCTTTAGGAAGATTTCAAGAAATAATATCTGCTCACAATTAAAGTTTTTAATTTAAAAATATGAAGAAAATTAATAGTAACTATTATTTATTGCTTGAGCTTAAGCCTGTAATTTCACATTAATTGGTGAGTACGGCACAGACATTAACATTTAAGTAATAAATGATATCTTCAAAAAGAATTAATGAATAATCTAGGTTATAGAATATTTTCAATTTGGTCTTATTTCTTTCAAGCGCATGTATTAATGCCAAGGAGGTTGTGAATTAGTAATGTATTGAGTGCTTACTCTGTACCAAGCACTATATATCAATGCACTTGATTCCTCACAACTCCCCCCATGAGTCAAGTACGATTATTACCTCCATTTTACAGATGAGGAGATCAAGACATAAGAATCTGCCTGCCCAACGTCTAACAGCTGCTTAATGTAAGAACCAGGATCTGAACCTAGATCCTACGGCTCCAGAGTGTAAGGCACTACTAACTGGTACATTAGGGTGAATTAAGTAATCACTGCCAGTCTATAAACAGGTTCTGTCAAAGTCTTTGAAAATGATGTTTCAGTAGGTTAAGCACCAACTATGCCACAATTAATTACACAGTTTTTCTTAATGCAAAGTCAGCTCCCAACTCAGCCATATTTTCAGCAAAAAAGGAGAGTTTCTATGACATAGTGTATAGTAGAATACTCCTCATGGTTAACATTTATTATAGATAAAAGTCAGAAAAATTCTAGTTTTATAACTTTTTAAGCTAAAGATTCGAAAACACATTTAATACAATGTAGAAGAAAAAAGATATTGCCTATGGTTCTAATTCAGTTTTGCCTCAGAAAAAAGCTATGCTGTTCAAACAACCACAAACCTTTGAATTAGAGCACTGCCGACATTTTCATTTTTAGAAATTTATCCAAAATCCACTGACCTCACCCTTTCATCTTTTCCCTAGTCCGAGAGACGCTGTGTGACCCAGAGTTCCCCAGAAATATCCAGAAAGTATAGATGGACCAACACATGCTCTTCTAATTTCAGTTTAATGGTTGCAAAAAACTACTTGGTTATCCATAAATAATTTTACCTACTCTTTTCTGATGTTACATTTCTAAGTGCACGGTGGTTCCCAGGTGGCCTGTTGTGACACCTCGGACCGATCCTCAAGACTTGGCCAAAGTGGGAAGGGAAGAGGGTGAGCTTCATAGACAGCTGAGTTGTGACCCAGAGCTCCTTCTCATTAAGAGCAACATAACACAGAGCCTATTAAAACATACTTCTGAGATTGCTGCTAACAGAAATAACTGCTTAATAGAAATAACTGAAAATAGATGCAAACAGAATTTCTCTAAATACAACACTTTTAAGCTGGCCCTTGGGGTGTCGGAGGATTTTTTAATTCTGTCTTCCTAACTGTGTTCTTCCACAATTCACTGGCTTTGTGTCTTCAAATGCTAATTTCTTTTTCTGCTGGAAAAGTTAATAGGCACCTCCACTCACAGCAGATGGTTCCTTATAAAAAAATAAAAGGTTGGAGAGCATCTGGTCAGATATATCAGATCAGGGTAGTTCAGATTTTAAATACCTGTAATTCTTATTCAGATAAAAATAATTTTAATCCTAGTAACTTAATCTTCTGCCCTTCTGAAATCTTAATAAGGTTTTCACGAGAATAGATATTACATAGAACCGGTTGTCATAGTAGTATGAATATTGTTTTTATTTTTCAATATAAGCAACATGCCTTAGTCACAGCAGCTGTAAAAATAGAGTCACTTCGATTTATCTTTAGCAGTTTCTATCTTAGCTCCAGAAACCCTGGTTAACTCCTTGCTATTACTGCAATGTTTATTTTTTCATGGCTCCTGCACAGGCATTTGAGTTTTAAGCTGATACTGGTGGTATTTTTCCATTTTGAAATAACTTTATCATATTGGAATGCTCCTCCATGTATATCCAATTATTCTGGTTAGAGAGCACCCCGCCCACTGGCTGCTCCCAGATGAAGGCAGGAAAGTGACTACGGGTTTGGGCTCCGAGTCTTGCTGGGGTGAGCCATGTTGTCAAACAGAGACTTTCAGTAAAAATCACACACACCTTTACTGTGACCTTTCGTGCACAAAAAGGCAAGGTTACGCCTGCTGAGTTTTCTCCTCTTTCTCAAACCATTACTCCTACTAAACTGCCCTCCGAGGTTTGCAGCTCTACCCACAGGCCACCTGGGTCCATACAAAAGAAAGGGCCTCTGCTAGCTTGGTGTGGCTCTGCAGGAGCTACTCCGGAGCCTGCAGATACCTCTCAACCCCTGCTCCACACATGTGTCTGGGGACAGCAAAAGCGCCAAGCTTGACTCCAAGGAAAGACACTCCTTAGGGATCTCCTGTCCTGTGATGTCCTTGAAACCCTCTGAGGTCCCCCCAGGGCCACTGAAAAGCTCAAAGAACAGCACCACTGTGCTTTACAAACAATGTCTCCACCATGCCAGCACTCCCCGTAGTCTAGCCTAAGCACAGGGACCTGAGGTCCGCCCAGGTTAAATGACATGCATACAATCACTGCATAAGAGAGCAGTAGGGGCCGGGCAGTCTCTCATGCCTGTCATCCCAGCACCCTGGGAGGCAGAGGCGGGAGGATCGCTCAAGGCCAGGAGTTAGAAACCAGCCTGAGCAAGAGCGAGACCCCTGTCTCTCTACTAAAAATAGAAAGAAATTAATTGGCCAACTAAAAATATATAGAAAAAATTAGCCGGGTGTGGTGGCGCATGCCTGTAGTCCCAGCTACTTGGGAGGCCGAGGTAGGAGGATCACTTGAGCCCAGGAGTTGGAGGTTGCTGTGAGCGAGGCTGACGCCACGGCACTCACTCTAGCCTGGGCAACAGAGTGAGACTCTGTCTCTAAAAAAAAAAAAAGAGAGAGAGAGAGAGCGAGAACAGTAGGGTGGGATTTGAACTCAGGTACACCCAAGAGTCCCTTTTCCCACCACTCTATGCTTCTCACCACAAAAATATGGAGGGACTATGAAGAGCCCACAGCCCCAAAAATATCAGCCAGAGAAGTCCTTACCTGCAAGCCACCCACACTTTAGGGTCCCCAAATTAAAGCATTTTTGATCTTTAAAAATGTATCTGTTTGAAAGCAGTGTCATTTTGAAAATCAGCAACAACCAAGGCCCACTGAAAAAGCTCCGCGGTGGCGCTCCAGGGTAAAACACATCTGGGCCTCCCTCCACCCACCCTGAGCAGCCAAGGCCCCCAGACCCAGCAGGGCCCCGGTCTGCAGACCCAGGTGACACACGAGTTTTAGCAAAGGGGTAAAGAGAGAGTTTCCTATCAACTAGCTCTCTCTCTCCACAGGGCACAGACAGGAGGCAGAGGGACATGTTAGAGGTCGCTATGGAAATTTAGGAAGAGCAGTGGTGGCATGAGCCAAGGGAGCAGCAATAGAAACAGTGGGAAGGAGAGATTCAGAGATTTACAAAAAGCTAAATAACCTAGATTTTCTGATAGATTAGGTGGGGGAGGGGCAGGTAGTAGGAATGAGGAAAACAAGCCTAAACTAATTTAAATGCATGCCACCGCTTCCAAGAGCAATGAAAATAAGCCCACCTAAATGCAAATTTAAACCCCAGAGGGCCAAAAGCCCTCCCCACAAAAATAATCCTTAACTGCTAAAAATGTCTTCCAAAACCCAAATTCAATTATTTTTAACAATGTAGTTATTTCAAGTTTTACTGTGAATCGGGCTCCTGCTGAATATTAATATCCATGATTTATAAACCGCAAATTTATCCTTTATGCTGCACATAATTATAATCTTGCCATTTTTAAAATTATGCTCCTCTTGGAAGTTTTGCATTTGAGAATTATGCTCAGTTAATGCACACACAGATGAGAGAGACCATTCTGCGCAAAGACAGACTCTATATCAACTGGGGGGTTAATGCTTTTCTTCAGTTGTCGACTTCCAGGGAAAAAAATCCTGTGGCATTTGTTCTCTTAATGACAATGGGAAAATCATTTTTCACAGCACACAGCTGCACTTTAGAAACAGCGTGGATTTATGGCTGCAATGATCCTGAGCTCAGAGGAGTTAATGGTTTGGAGGCATGGGAACAGCAGTAGCCAAAGTCAAAGATGAAGTTAAAAAGCGACAGAGGACTTTTTAGCCCACAAAGCCCAGTTTTGCACTTAACCAGATCTGGCTGGTGACCACGGTGCTTTTTAAGTCAGGTTCCGAAGAGGAAAAAAAATTCAATAGAAAATAGAGCTTCAATTTTGGTATACTTTCAAAACAATGCTTTTTACCTTCCTAGTAGTCTTGAACAATCAATTGACTAGATTCAAAGGTGTTCAGATCTTTCTGCATAGCATACAGTTCAGTATTAGAAACTGTTAGACATTTAAATGTTCTCTCTCTACACCAAGTGAAACAGCCTCCTTTCAATTTGGAACTTGACGGCTCACACCTCTTGCACGGTCAAAGATGCACTGTCTGAGCGTTTTGCTAGAGTGTCATCCCTTTACACATAAGCTCTGTCCGTACATACGCTCACAATTACTTGAACAGCAGGAAGCCCGGCTTTACAGTCAGCTGATTCTGAGCCCCAAGTTTGCGATGCCACGACCTGCACTGGAATTTGTTACATATTGTCAACATGACAATTTTGAAATTTTGAAACGGCAAAGTTTGAAGAGCTGTATCCAATTTCCATTTCCTCCTATTTTATTTCTATTTGTTTATAATAAGTCTGCACAACGGGCTATTTTTCTATTATGTGATCTTCAGGGGACAGGGGAAAAGGTCTTCCAAACATTCAAAACTGCTGCTAAAAGCTCTGCTGTCACTGCCGCTGCTATCTGACTGTTAACACCACTATTGATTCTTTGGGCTGCAAGTTGATGGCTTTGACTTACCAGGGTATCTTCAGCTGTAAACAACAAAAAGACCAGGTATAAGTGATTGAAACTTTTCTAAAAATAGAGAAGAAAAAGACCAATAATGATAAGAAGTGAGAAGGGACAGTGCATAAGAGAAATGCCAATGGCCCTTAAATATATGAACACAGAAATGCAATTAAAACTATGCTGAGACACCACTTCTTACCGATCCAATCCAGAAGTCTGACAATGTACTCAATCACACAGGGAAAAATCATCTCAAGTGACCTTGAAACACAGAAATTTGACTATCTATTCTTAGGTGAAGGGAGTACATTAAAAAAAAATACTGCCAAAAAAATTTTTTAACTATTTTCACAGTAATCATATGGCTAAATTCAATATTGGTTTTGCTCATCTGAAATTATCACAGATATGTAGTAGCACAGTGTGTATATGTAATGATATTAGAGCCATCAGGAAATAAGCTTTTCAGAATAAAAGGCATTAAAAACAAAATTACCCTAAATTTGAAAGGCAAATATAAGTACAAACCCATGTATTATTTTCTCTGTCCACTGAAAAAGCCAAGAAACAATGACCAATGCAGTAACAATAATCAATGATAGGCACCTTGATTTTGGTCTCTGAATACCATTCCCTACTGAAAGGAACTGGAGCTCACTGAAAAACTGGCCGAACCTAGGACTAGGGCAGGAAGTGCATGATGAAGATGGACAGCATTTTATTCTAGAAATCAAGGACTCTGTCAGAGTCTACTGCGGTCATGTGTAAAGGACCCAACGGCAAACAAAAAGGGGTGTCCACTATCCATCCAAAAAGGCAAAAAACTGAGCAGCAAAAGGAATATTCATAGCAATGAATTGATACATCTCAAATATGTTAAAATCCATGAATCCATAATACAGTAGTTCCCCGTACCCATGGGGGACACATTCTAATATCCCCGGGGATGCCAAAAACTGAATAGTACTGAACCCTATATTTACCAGTACTATGTTTTTTCCTATATATACATGCCTATAATAAAGTTTAGTTTACAAACTAGGCACAATAGGAGATTAACAACAACTCACAATAAAATAGAGTAATTACAACATTGTGTAATAAAAATCATGTGAATGTGGTGTCTCTCACTCTCTCTCTCAAAATCTTATTCTGTACTCACCTATTTTTCAGACTGTGGTTGACCACAGGTAACTGAAACCACAGAAATCAAAATCTCAAGGGGGAACTACTGTAATACTATTTTAAAAAGTGAAAAGAGAAAAGCTCATTGATCACTTTTGGTAGACGCTAGAAAACCAAGTCATTATTCTGAAAACTGGTAAATAAAAAGGGGGGAAAATCAACCAAGAATTTACTGTCTTTCCTATTTGAATTGTGCCTTAGGCTGCCCAGTTATTTGATGAGAGAAAGCTTTATCCTTCAGATGGATTCTAGGTCATAAATGAAGATGCAGTGACAGAATTGGAATATCAACGTTTTCCCACCTGTAATGAAATTAGGGAATCCGGTAATGCTCACTGAGAAGCTGATGGGCAACTCTACAGTGTACATCCCAGACTGACAACATCTGACCCTGCTTATCACTCTCAACATTACAAAAAAGACAGAAAACTATGCGCTCCTTGATCAAAGCAGTTTTGTGATCTACGCTGAATTCTTGCCAAAAAAATAGAACTTGAATCTTACGAAGGGTCTAATTACCAGTTTACAGGAAATAACAAAGACAAAAAAACATGTTAAATGATACCATGGGAATGCAATCAGGAAAACCTGGAATATGGGAAATCCTACAGGACAAATTAGCAAGTACCTTCAACAAATAAAATGCAAGGAAAAAAAGGATGGGAGAACTTAAAAATTAAAAGAGATGTATAATTATATTTGTATCGTGATTTAAATAATCTAAATGTAGCCGGGCGCGGTGGCTCATGCCTGTAATCCTAGCACTCTGGGAGGCTGAGGCGGGCGGATTGCTCGAGGTCAAGAGTTCGAAACCAGCCTGAGCAAGAGCGAGACCCCGTCTCTACTATAAATAGAAATAAATTAATTGGCCAACTAATATATATATAAAATTAGCCGGGCATGGTGGCGCATGCCTGTAGTCCCAGCTACTCGGGAGGCTGAGGCAGCAGGATTGCTTGAGCCCAGGAGTTTGAGGTTGCTGTGAGCTAGGCTGACGCCACGGCACTCACTCTAGCCTGTGCAACAAAGCGAGACTCTGTCTCAAAAAAATAAATAAATAAATAAATAAATAATCTAAATGTAAGCTTAATCCATGAGAAAATCAGGAAAATTCGAACACTGACTGGATAATTGATGGCATTAAGAAATACTGTCAAAGTTTTAAGCAGGACAACAGTATTGTGGTTATGGTTTTTAAAGCCCTTGTCATTTGGTGAAACATACTAACGATATATTATGACTAAAATGACCCATTGAGAGTGAACAGGTGATGGGAAAGTAAATAGGACAAGCTTGGCCATGAGGTTGTTTTTTTTTAATTTCAACAGATTTGGGGTACAAGTGGTTCTGGTCACATGGATGGATTGTAGAGTGGTGATGTCTGGGCTCTCAGTGTAGCTGCCACCCAACAGTGACACTGCACCCAACAGGCAGTCTTTCTTCCTTCTCTTTCCTCCCTCCCTGCCCCGTTCTGAATCTCCAATGCCCACTGTCCCCCTCTGTGTGCCCCTAAGTCCCGGCCCCACTTCGAATGAGAACAGGTGGCATTTGCTTTCCCATTTCTGAGCTGCTTCACTTAAGAAGATGCCTCCAGTCCCATCCAAGTTGCTGCAAAAGACATTATTTCATTATTTCTTATGGTTGAGTAGTGCTCCATAGCGAACTGATGACTATTAAAGATAGGTTATGGGTACATGGGGGTTTATGATACTGTTCTTTCTTCTTTTGTGTATGTTTCACATTTCCTAAAGTTAAAAAAAGGCTTTTAAAATTAATACGGTATCCTCATGAGTGGATTAATAAAACGTGGTCTGTGTACACCACGGAGCACTATTCAGCTCTGAGAAACAGCGGTGACCCAGCACCTCTTGTGTGTTCCTGGCTGGAGCTGGAGCCCATCCTACTAAGGGAAGTGTCCCAAGAATGGAAACACAAGCACCACGTGCGCTCACCAGCAAACTGGTGTTGACGGATCAGCACCTAAGTGGACACACAGGAGTGACATCTGTCGGGTGTCGGGCAGGTGGGAGGGGAGGAGGGGACGGGTGTAGACAGACACGACGAGTGAGACGTGCACCGTCTGGGGGATGGGCACGCTTGAGGCTCTGACTGGAAGAGGGGGAGCAAGGGCAATATACGTGACCTTGACATTTGTACTCCCACAATATGCTGGAAAAAATTAATTAATTAATTAATCTAAGAAGACATACAAATGGCCAATTAAACACATGGAACAACGCTCAATGTCATTAGCCATCAGGGAAATGCAAGTCAATGCACGATGAAATTCTGCTCCAGGTCCCCTAGGACGGCCACAATCAAAACTCAGAAAATGACAAGTGTTCGCAGGCATGTGGGAAAACTAGAACCGTCACATATTTTATTTTATTTATTTATTTTTTTTTTTGAGACAGAGTGTCACTCTGTTGCCCGGGCTAGAGTGAGTGCCGTGGCGTCAGCCTCGCTCACAGCAACCTCAGACTCCTGGGCTCAAGCCATCCTCCTGCCTCAGCCTCCTCCCAAGTACCTGGGACTACAGGCATGCGCCACCATGCCCAGCTAATTTTTTCTATATATATTTTTAGTTGGACAATTAATTTCTTTCTATTTTTGGTAGAGACGAGGTCTCACTCAGGCTGGTTTCAAACTCCTGACCTCGAGCAATCCGCCCGCCTCGGCCTCCCAGAGTGCTGGGATGACAGGCGTGAGCCACCAAGCCCGGCCCTTCATACATTTTAGATGGCACTGTGGAATGACGTAGCCACTTTGGAAAACACCTGGGCAGTTCCTCAGGTGATTAAACAGAGTTACCACGTGGCCAGCAATTCCACTCTTAGGTACACACCACGAGAATTAAAAACGTGTTCACACACAAACTTGTACGCAAATGTTTATAGCAGCACTGTTTAAAATAGTGCAGGACAAAAGTGGGAACAGCCCAAATGCGTATCATGTGATGACTGTATAAATAAAATGTGGTATATCCATACAATGGAGTATTATTCACAATAAAAAGGAATGGAGTACAGGTACATACCACAACAGTGGATGAACCTTGAAAACATTACGCTGAGAGAAAGAAGGTAGCCATCAACGACCAGAGTGAATTATTTCAGTAATATGAAATATCCAGACCGGGCAAAGCTGTACAGACAGAAAGCAGAGCACAGGGCTTGGGAGGCGGGGGTGGAGGAGAGAGCCAGGAGGAGAGTCGACTGCCGCAGGGTACGGGCCTCCTTTCTTGGGTGACGAAAGCGTTCTAAATGGGATTGTGGGGACGGCTGCACACTCTGTGATCACACTGAAAACCAAAGCGTCGTAAACTTTATATGGATAAAGTGTATGGTTCTTGAATTCCACCTCAACAGAGCTGTGATTGATGATGATGATGATGATGATGATGATGATGATACAGTAGTGACCAAAAATAAGTGGCTTTAAACAATGAGGAAACATTTCTTTCTTGACTAAGAGGTTAAGAGACAGGGTGTTTCTGGGCTTGCTTAGTTCCATAAGACCCTAATGCTGCTCTTTCTGTTCCGAGGTGCTAAGGGGACACTCTGCCCTTAGGCTAGGTCCCTGACAAACAAAGTGTCTCTGCAGCTGCCCCACAGGACCAGCCACAGCCACCTCCAGAGAGGCGGGAGGTGACCTTTTCCTGGGTCTGTGTCTGGGGACAAGGAAGCACTTCCCGGAGGTCTGAACCAGACTGGCCTTCATCTTTCATGGTCCAGCACTGCACCACGCGCCAGGCCTCCACCCATCACAGGCCAAGGAAAGGGAACCATGGAGACTGATCCCAGACCCGGGCCTTCAAATTGAGGGCACTAGGTACTGT